TTGTGTGTTATCTTATCCAAAGCCTGGTTTGTGCAAAAAGAGAAAGGGGGAATTGTTGCTGTATTTTATATATTGGTAAAGGTCTGTCTGCACAAACCAGCCTCTGGGATAAGTCGCAATATTAAAGGCTAAAATCCTTGAAACTTGCCTGTAGAAAGTAAAACAATGTTCCTGTGTACAAGGATAAGAATGTAAACTTGTGTGTACTAGCCAATAGTAGCTTGCTCTGCCCGCAGACCCTGTAGAACCCTATAAAAGGTGTGCTAAAGATAGAAATAAACGGCATTCACAATTACTTCTGTGAAGACTGGTGAACAGCTCGGGGGTCTTTCAACACTATTTGACTTTCCTTGCCCCTGTGACCTTTTTGTTCCTTCAGCTGTTTACCCCTCCCAGCCTCCCAGAATTCAGGATGAATTTATTCACCAAGAGAAGCCTTTTCTCAGAAGAGCTGCTCAGACAAGTTCATTCCTGGCAGATTTCGGGCTGTTTGTCTCTCCACAAAAGCAGATCTGTGTTTGCCCTGCTCAGGCCCTGCCTGACTGCACTTCCTCTGTCTCCTGCAGGCTTGATTTCATCACAGATTTACTGTAAGTGAATCACTGAGCCCTTTTGTTGTTTTGTTTTTTTGCTCTGAGCCTCAGGGTGGTGAAATGCACACACACAATGGCCCGAGGGCTCCAGGAGATCCCAAATCCTGCTCCAGCTCAGCCACCTCCAACACCACCCAGCCAGGGAAAATCTGCTTTTTTTCCTTCCTGATCTCTTTGTGACCTCTCCTTTTCACAGGCACCCCAGCCTCACGAAATCCCAGAATCCCAGACTGGAAGGGACCTTAAAAATCATCCATAAAAACTCCAATCTCTTCCCAGGGTGGCACAATTCCCTTCACCCTCCGTGCCTGCAGCTTCAGGTGCTGCACATCCCAAGGAATTCCAGGACACGGGGAATGGCTCCCAGTGCCAGAGGGCAGGGTAGGACTGGAAATTGGGAGCAGAATGTCCGAATTGGAGATGCCTCTTCACACATCTAAATAATTTTCCATCTACTCCAGTTTTCCCCAGCTGGCACATGAGGGTCCAGAGCATCCCAAAACACCAGCAGAGCCAGCACAGCAGAGTTTGCAGTGGGAGCTTTTGTGGCTGACCACACCAATTTGGGGTTTCTGCAAGAGTTTGTTTATTTTTCATGTCATGCCTCTACCAAAGAACTCAATTCTGCTTCTGTTCCTGGAAGAATGTTAAAAATGCAAGCAGTAAACACCAGAAGTGGCAAGGGATGAGGTCAGAGTTTGGAGGGATTTTGGTATAGTAGGTCTGGGATTTGTTTTAGGCTTTCAAAGTGTAATTTGAATCCTCCTTATTTTCCTTCCTTGTTTCAGTTTTCTGAGTTACCTGTGGCTCTTCACAAGAACAGAGGGACCATTGAGGAACACAAGGCAGGGGCTGATTTCTCTCCCACTGTTATCCCAGAATTGTTCACATCCTGATTTCTGCCTGATGTGGAGCTGCCCCTGGCTCTGGCAATGGATTCATTTCCCCTCTCTCTCTCTGTGTGTTTCTTTCTGGGCACCTTCCTTATCTTTTTGTAGATTCAAATTTATTTTTTTTTTCAAGATTCTGTGCCAGAAATTCAGCTGCAGGAAAGTCAGGGGATCGTTTATCCCTCACTGATTTGGCATTGAGCTTGCTTCCCTCTCCCTAGGCTCAAATAAAGCCAATACACTGAATTATCCCTGACCTCCTGTAGGTTCTGCAGATCTCCTGGATTATTGATATTATTTTGTTTTAATTGGATGTCACATTAAATCCAGCTCTCTCTTCCCTCCACCTTCATTAAATCACTTTATTCTCCATTCTCCTCAATGTTTAATGAATCATTCCTCACCACCAATGGTGGGAATCCCATTTTCCATTCCCCTTTTCCCACTCTCACCTCTCTCCTGGCAGGGAGGACTCCAGGACAGGGATTTTTCAGGCTTTGGCTCACCAGGAATCTCCAGATAAATCAGAAACCAAAACCCTGCCCGAGTTTCCCCTGAAACCAAAACCCTGCCTGAGTTTTGGCAAAGGGCAGATGAACACGACCCATTCTGGGATTTCTGCACCAAAGCAGAGGGGACGGGAAACTCCCTCTGCCAAAGGCACAAAAATCTTTAATTTGGAGTTCCTTCATCAATCAAATCTCACTAATTAAGGTGCCCCTCCAGTCTCAGAGCGCTCTGAGCGCTGTTTTGTTGTTTCATGGAGATGTTTCTGTGAAAAATGAGGTTTATATTTTTTTATATAGAATTTAAAAGTTTAATAGACAATGAGGAGATAAAAATAGAGTAAAATATACAGATATGGCCGGGTGTCTGCATTCACCTTACTGACAAAAGATTGTCCCTTTAAAACAGGACCCTACTACATATCCATAAATTCTCATACATAATTCAAACATTCTTCTTAAGTTTTAGATGTTTCTTTGTTCAGTTTTCACCTTGCCCCCTTCCCAATAAATCAATTTTCTTGGCACCACTGGGTTTTATATCCTCTGATAAGGGCGCAATAAATCCTTCTCTTGGAGGTCTTGGAGGACAAGATAATCTTAAGAATTCAGGGGGGGTCTCTGACCATCTTTTCAGTCTCTGGGTTATATAAACAAAAAGTAGTTTGTGCTTTAATATCATGTTATAGCCTAACATATATATGTATTATACCACTATTTCTAAGTTTCATCAATAACAGAAATAGAGGGAACTGTATTAACACAACAAAGTTTTCTAACCTTATACATGTAACATTCACTTTAATGTTTGTGAAAAGCCAATAATATAATATGCAGTTATAACAATATTTATGTTGTTATTATTATTGCTATTATTAATAATAATACTATATTGTTGCCATACTAAATAATAATAATAATAATAATAATAATAACAATAATATTACTGCCACACTACTGTTATTATTAATTACAGTGTCACCAGGTGTGCTCAGTGTCACTGTAGGTGTGCTCAGTGTCACTGTAGGTGTGACAGTGTCACCAGGTGTGACAGT